GGTGAAAATTACATCATCGGATCACTGAAAAGCACTGATGTTGATGATAATCTTGGTGACCTTGACCTTTCACAAAAGTCAACCAAAATCAAAGATCTTGTCTTGGAGATTATGTATACCTAAAGTACTGTCAGAAATGCAAGAAAAATGCTGATTCGGGTTTCATTCAATAAATAAAAATAGCATATGTCAAAATAGCGCAAATCTATCTAATCTAGCCAAGCCTAACTGGCACTGTGATTAGCCTAAAAACATACAATTACAGGTAAAATGATGATAAACTTGGAAAATGTTCATGTGTTGACATGCATGTATGAAACTGCATTCAGCCTGAGGTAATTACCTAACACCTGTCCCGAGATGAAGACCTCACACCGTCCCAAGCATTCTCCCAGGTGCAAATTTCACGTCAGTTGGGGGTGGTCTCAAAATATTGCTGTCATTGTACTTTACTGAGGTATGTGTTTGAGGGAGGGGGTAGCAATTACGACATGTACTGTATTATATTTGCTTCGAAAGATGATGGAATAGTTTGTTTTTTTGTTTGTTTTTTTGTTTACGCTCCACTCAGCAATATTCCAGCTATATGGTGGCGGTTTGTAAATAATCGAGTCTGGACCAGACAATCCAGTGATTGACATCATGAACATCAATCCACGCAATTGGGATACGATGACATGCATGATGGAATAGTAAATAGCAATGAAACAGGATGAGTTGGGTTTTTTTCAAATCAAGATTGTTGTTCAACAGATGCTTTCCCCAGCCAGCAACTGACTCAACTGATGACATATCTGAATCTGTACTATCACCCAAAGGAACAACTGGTTATCAAGGCTGATATCTACATTGGAAGTACTGACGGTCTATTTCAAGAACGTGATATGCAGCCTTGTGCAATACTTTTCGTGTAATTCAAGCAATGACTGTGTTGATCACCCCTTTGACATGTGTGACTTTGATTGTTGTGCTATGTCTTGACACAAACCCTTTACAGTTAGCCCCAAACAAGCTCATTGGGGTTAAGCTCACAATGTCTGACTGGTGTAAGTTGGTTGGTTGGTTGGTTGTTTAACAATTACAGCTATAGTATAGTGAGCTCCTCGAATGGGCTATAGCTGTGAGGAGCCTGACAATATATTACACATAATGTGAAAGTAGACAATAGTTTATTTCAAATAATAATAATAACATATAAAAAACAAATCATTAGGAGCATAAAGTGCCACAGAAAGACAAATTATGTCACAATGACTTCACATGTCAAATTAATCAATCTCATTAAAATCAGATCTTAGTTCTTACTATCGCTGAACAAAGATCTAAGGACATCCCATTACGGGTCACGTCAGAACAACCTTTCATCCGACCAATCAAATCGTCACTTACCAGATCATGTAGGTGACAGTCAGAATGTGTTTTCTACTTATTCAACCCTGAAAACATTAACTCGGGCTATTCCGAACGACAGTTACGTCCCGTACGACTGATTCCGTCAAAATTATCGTCTATCTCTCACTTCCGTGGGATAAACACTAAACGGAGGAGTGTGTGGGAAGCACTGCCATACAATAACAACCATATATTAGACATTCTGGAATATTCGTTTGTTCAGTTTTCAAAATTCGAATCGAGAACTGTGTCAACATATTTTTCAAGCGTAGCCTGAAATGGAAGTCGCCAGGTTGAAACGAGTGCCGTAAAGCTCGAGAAAGCTGCTTTCTAATTGGCTGATGTCGACTTCTTGTTAGTCGTTTCGTTCTGACGTGACCTTTAAGCGGATGTCCTCAGATCTTTGTTTAGCAGGTGCGAGAACTTAGATCTGATTTTAATGAGATTGCAAATGAGTGAATATAGTTGCACTAGTTGCACTAGTACATGTCAAAGAACTATATGTATATATATACCGGTACACAGACTCATTACTGAAAAATATGTCAAACATGTAGAATGAAGACAATAAGGACATAAATAAACTTATCCTACAACTACTAACACATTATCAAAGATACATTTGTCATGAATTAATATGTAATATCATGAAGGTTTAATCAAGATAGAAAAAATATCATGATACACTTTTTTAGCATTTAACTGAATGAATATATTCCAATTTATATATTACAGGGGATACAAAAGTTCGTTTTCAGAAGCATGATAAGGTGACCAGTGGAGTGGAATATATCAGTCAGAATCACGACCATCTGAAGACAGTGTATCCATGCAGAATAATTTGTTTGTTCGTTGTGCAATGCCACAATCGAGTCTGGACCACACAATCCAGTGATTGATATTATGAACGCTGTCGGGGAAAGAGGACACACAATCAACTAAGTCACGTCTTACGACCAGCATCGATTGCTGACGACCAATTGTAATCCCCGCAGGGCCACACAGAATACAGTGTATCCAGTAGTGTGTATCTTTCAATGCAGTGTAACAATGAATCCTTTCAGCCTTACTCAAGATACATTTAATGTTAGCAGTTTCTGTGATGTGTCCTACAAGCCACGATTCCTGAGCTTATCTCAAGATACAGGTAATTTCCTCACGAACAAATTAACGAAGCAAATCCAGTTTATAAGAAAGCACAAAACTGCTGCATATATTCAGCTCTGCAAAATATCTAGAACTGTCAAATCTACAAGCAATCTAGTCAAAATCAGATCATTTACTGAGACCTTCACGGAAGGAAGGTCTGACTACAGACTCAGAGGACTTCACATCCAGTAAGGGGCGGTCGGGTAGACTACTGGTTAAAGTGTTATTTTGGAGATTCAGAAAAAAAGAGTTTCCATGAAAAGGACGTCAGCAAACTTTTTACCAACAACTGCTTTCTGCAGCTGTTCGTGACATGGCAATCACTGAATCGTAATGACTGCCCTGAGTCTAGTAAAAATTTGTTCAGTCAAGAAAGCTTAGAATATGAGTCCTTATATTAACACTAAAATTGACTTAAAACTATGCAGAGAGCTAGTAGATTTCATAATGTCTCAGCGCAAGCATCTTTCCACTGATGTGAAAGGTTTCGTTGTTAAAATATTTTAATACTTTAAGGCTGAAAGTGAAAGACGTTCGCCCTTCTTTGACATTTCAAAGTACATGAAAAGAACAATTCATGCGTTACAGCTTCCCAAACAAACCGTAGTTAAGATTTTGAACTCTCATAAAAACACATGCTCCCCTGCACATCCCTTAGGGGGCATCTCAAAACAGGATAGGAAATTAAAGTTAGATTCCTTTGATAAGAAAGTACTCAGGGACGTGATTCGGCGGTTAACATGAGAATATGAATTTATTTCAACACGAAAACTATACACTTGAAGACATATTTGTCATTACCGAAAATCTAGCAATCTGCTTGTCATATAACAATTGACCTAGCTCCAACACTGAGTAGCTGTGCTGAGTGTCCGATGTTAGGCACAATGTAGATCTTAATGTCGAACAAACATATTTCACTGAACATTAGTATTTGGAAAGTGTGAACTTTTAAAGACAAAATCATTACATGTGTCAGAAATTTATTTAACACAGGGTCCTTAAGAGTGAGCGAGTACCGGTAAGGTTTTACGCTGCTTTTAGCAATATTCTAGCAATAACACGGCTGGGGACACCAGAAATGGGCTTCACACATTGTACCATGTGGGGAATCGAACCCGAGTCTTCAGAGTGACAAGCGAATGGTTTAACCGCTAGGCTGCCCAACCACCCCAGGATTGCTAAGACCAACCATATGATGGATGGTTGAATGATATGGTTGACACATTGCAGCAGTGTAACCCTGATACATGGCCGACGTTCTCTGTCTGGACTCTCAATATGTGCGATAGTCCAATCATATTTAGCACAGGAAAGAGGGCTTGATGTGGCAAGGGTGGAAACAAGACTTTGATTAAAAGGCTAGTGGACACTCTTGCCTGGTGAGGATGTTTTGACTGGGCAGTCAAAATTCTATGGAGGTGTTCTCAGATCTTGACGTCAACAAGTATCATACCACACTAAAAGATCTGATCATAATGAGATTGCACTTGTTTCTATATGGGATAAGAAGGGACAGCTTAGCTTGGGCATATATTGCAGGCCTAAGCCTTGACTAGTTGAATGTTATTTTGGTGTTGCCCAGTTTAGGATGAACAGCTAGCTCTGTCACTGTATCAATGAAATGACTTTCTTGTCTTTTATTTGATCATAAAGAACAAGTCAGCTGCACAGAAATAATACAGTGCCCCTGATATATGTTGGGCATAGAAACATACATAACTTAACTATGCATGAAGAAATCTTAAATCTTAATTCTTCTTTAAATAATGATGGATGCCATTAACATGATTAACACAGACGAAATGCTGACTATGCCATCTACAATCATAAAAAATTGAAAAAAAGGGGGCACGGGTGGCCCAGTCATCTAAGTCGCTGTGCAGAGTTGCATCCCTTGGGCACGCCAGAAACCTATGATTGTGGGTTCGAATCCTGGTTCGCCCGAATTGTGTTTCTAGGTTTGTCAGCACAATACCCATGCTCATGGGTTTCACTGAAGTGGTAAACATCTGAGAACTGCATCACTTCGGGCTTTCCTCACACATTAAGCTGACACGCCGTGATATAACTGGAATACTGTTAAAAGCAGCGTTAAACGCAGACTTTATGATGATGCAGGCAGTCCCTAAGAACCAAGCCTATTATTTTTTTAGCCAAGTATTTACCCATTATAAACACAGTGACCAACTAGGCAGCACAGATACCGGCTTTAGTCATATATCACAAATCTCCACTCATGAACGCCTCTGTGGTCTAGTGGTCTGCCCAGAGAGCGGAAGGTCCGGGGTTCATACCAAAAGACGTTAAAAGATGGTACTTGTTGTTACCCTGTCTGGCGCTCGGCATTAAGGGGCTAAAACAAGGACTGGTCGGCTCGGAGTCAGTATACTGTGTCTGAGTGGGGTATTCATGTTAAACTGCGGCATGGTATCTCAGTGGGCTAGCACTATAAATCGGCATCAGTCTGGACTAGTAAAAGCAGCCGCACCCACATGTGCATGCACGTCGCAAAATAAGTGCAATAATCTTTCACCTCACTTCACCTTCTCCATCCACGGGAGTATATAATCATGATAATGTAATGATAACCTTATTTACCCATTATAAACACTGTGACAAACTAGGTAGCACAGCTACTGGCTTCAATCATATATCACGTTTCTCCACCCTTGGGGGTATATAATCATGATAATGTAACGATAACCTTATTTACCCATTATAAACACTGTGACAAACTAGGTAGCACAGCTACTGGCTTAAATCATATATCATGTTTCTCCACCCACAGGAGTATATAATCATGATAATGTAACGATAACCTTATTTACCCATTTAAGGTCTTACGTAATGAAACACAATAACATTCTAATCAAACATCATAAATTCTGAAGATATGAAATGTTTTTTGTTCAGACAGTTTGAGAAACAACTGTACAACATTTTTTAACAATATGACGTGATGATAAGTATTCATTTTTGTTACTCCAACTTTAAGGAAAGATGAACTTTACAGATGTAGCAGCATGAGTCACACCTTCCCCTTTATAAATTAACATGTACGGTACTGTTGAGTTTATATCAAAGTGTCAGTTGGTGAATGCTTTCTGCCTTTAGGCTTACCTAAATTTTTATCAGGGCTCCAGATATTTTTTTGTAGCCATTGAGTATTTACTCACAATGTATCATTCACATTGGGTGTTGAAAGATTTTTTTGGTGTTTCTTGGGTCTATGGGGTATGTTCCACCGATGTGTAGACATTTTTTAAAAATAATTCTTCATGAATTGCTGTTTGAGCATGTTGAGGTGACTTCTAATTTGTATGTTTGTGCGCTGCCTCTATGTGCAACATGTCTCATGAACTCACGACAGCAATATACATGTCTAATTAACAATAAGTCAGTCCTGGGGCCCATTTTATGCATTATTCACTGGGTTAAACCTTCACTGTTATATATAAAAGTTAATATCCCAGTGTTAATCACTGAACATGTCCTGCCTTATCGCTTACACAACTGGTCTGTGAATGCAACAAATCCCAATGCACCTTCTTTGTTATATATTAGAATTAATATCCCAGTTTTAATCAGGGAACATGACCTGCCTTATCGCTTACACAACTGGTCTGTGAATGCAACAAATCCCAATGCACCTTCTTTGTTATATATTAGAGTTAATATCCCAGTTTTAATCAGGGAACATGTCCTGCCTTATCGCTTACACAACTGGTCTGTGAATGCAACAAATCCCAATGCACCTTTTTTGTTATATATTAGAGTTAATATCCCAGTTTTAATCAGGGAACATGTCCTGCCTCATCGCTTACACAACTGGTCTGTGAATGCAACAAATCCCAATGCACCTTCACTGTTATATATTAGAGTTAATATCCGAGTTTTAATCAGGGAACATGTCCTGCCTCATTGCTTACACAACTGGTCTGTGAATGCAACAAATCCCAATGCACCTTCACTGTTCTTTATTAGAGTTGATATCCCAGTTTTAATCAGTGAACACAACTGGTCTGTGAATGCAACACAATGTGTGCATGGAACGCCAAAACTGGGCATCCTGTTCTGTGAAGCTGAGGTAGTGTCATCTCCAACACCTGTTTGACTAAGTTCACATATCCATCGACGCTGTTATGACACAGAAGTGACAACAGACAACAAGTCCATGGTACAAGGAATCAAGCAGTCATTTAGGAAGGAAAGGGGTCCGTCTGCTGGCGTTTGATAGGGTGGATGCCTTGAAGCCGGTAGTACTCAACGACTTGTTTGGGCACTTCAGCTAACACATGACGAGCAAGTTCTTCTGGGGTACTCTGAAAAATGTCGAAGGGAACCTTTGAGTTATTCATATCTGTCTTACTGCATCAAGTATTGAAACATATTTTTAAATTGCTCGGTGACTCATTTGCTTAATATTCAGCCTTTTGAACTTTGACATTTTTTGCACATCACGCAAAAGTTTGATTAAATTATATGTCTGAAGTCATTTCTAAATGTTCTTTGAGTGCTCAATGTACACGTACTAATGGTTCCCATCAACATTCTTCACATACCTGATCAGTAGACAAACACCGCACCAATATTTCATCAGAAACTAGTTATCATGTAGGGCTGGGACCGGTAACTCGGGTACTCGGGTTGGGTGGGTACTGTGAACGACCCGGGTACCCACAGAACCCGAACCCGTAGTTACTCATGTGACATATTGGTTAATGACAAAAATTATCTTAAACTCCATGGTTACACTACATGTCATTAATGTTCACATTTCTTTCTGACTGTGCACATATTCCTTCTGACTGTCATATGTTTGAATAAAATGAAACTTTCATCAACTTCAGTGTACGCATGACCAGATCGTTTTATAGTGTACATGAATACTTTTTGCCAGGGCTCTGGTCAAGCAATTCCCAATCGGACATGTTATACCCATCTCTTTGTGTCCTACAGTCGGGCCCCGGGGCCCCGGGTAGGGTCGGGTTGGGTAGTAGGGTGGGGTCGGGTAGTAGGGGTGGGTGGGGGTACCTGGGTAGTAAATTTGGACTCGTCCCAGACCTAGTATCATGGTCATATATGATATTCACTGGGGTGCAGAAAATCAATGCACGACCTATGATATCCATGTACCTTGACTGAGTGTAATATATTCTGTTCTGTTTTAAGTCATGGCAGGGAAGAAATAGAAAATCGCAGGCAGTGAAAGACTGAGAATCTGAAAAGATAGTTGACTTTGTCTCCGGACAAGTGAATTTTTACTGTTAACTAGTTCACAATTCTTCAACTTCCACACCCTGCGTTCATACTGTTTGTGTACTGGTATATCATTAGTGGATAACATGTTGATTTCAGACTAATTTCCTATATAAAGGATTTTTTGTGACAAAATAGGAAAAATGAAAAAAAGTACTGCTGTACGGGTTCATTTATGATAATTTCCTGAAAAACAAACTTTGATCAATTATTGTTTTAATTATTATTTTTTCGGCAAAAATTTGATACATTCATCTTTAAAACAAGGCAATAAATTGGTAGGGTCTGAAATATATACCAGCTCTACCATGGATAGATTATTATGTAGATAATAAACTGACCTGCTTGAATTCCCTGAAGGGCACAAACTGCACGATGTCCCGTTTGACAGGCTCCCCGCTCGGAGCTCTCAGTAGCCCATCATCCCCATCCAGCTCCTCCATCATAGAGAAATCAGCGCCACCTACACCCACGATGATCAACGACATGGGCAGCTTGGAGGCCTCCACGATGGCCTGCTTGGTGGCGCTCATGTCACTCAGGACGCCATCGGTCAGCAGCAGCAGGATGTAATACGCCTGTATAATGGACAAACATCTCATTGTTATGGCTGTCTGTGTGAGGGACAGAGGGCATCATCCAATCATCTCGCATGGGTATGGCACTGACGAACCCACAGGACTAGTCACGTGATATATTGTTTAATGACAATAATTATCAAGAATTCTATGGTTACACTACAAGTCACATGTTCGCATTTCTTTCTGACTATGTTCCTTCTGACTTTTCATAAGGTTGAATAAAGATATAACTCAAGTCAACTTCAGTGTATGCATAACCAGATTGTTTGATACATGCATCTTAATATGTTTTGCCAGGTCTATGGTAAAAAAATCCACCATCGGACATTTTGTACCTATCTCTTGAAACCTACAGTAGGTACCCAGGAAGGGCCAGGCAATAGGGGGGTGGGTACCAGGGAAGTAAATTTGGACTCGTCCGAGGCCTAGTTGAATTGAGTGGAATTCAAAAGCTACAATGAGGAGATCCTGACACAACAAAGGGAGACAACTCTGCAGACCACTAGGACACTCTTGCCCATCACATAAACATAGAACGTTATTGAGAGATATATAGCAACTGACATTTTTATAAATGTTTATTTTGATTCAATTTTGACAACTTCAAATTTTGGTGAAACAGTTCTTTAGTGTTCTTTCTGTACATAACAATCCATCTTTGAAGACTCACATGTGCCCCTTTAGCTCGCTCTTCTTGCTGAGCAGCAAGCGCGAACCTAGCGACATGTCGAATGATGGGCGACACATTGGTAGGGCCGTACAGCTGGACTTGTCGGATACAGTTGGAGTAAGCTTGCAGCACACCATCAATTCCTGCACATAACACACTTCATTATTAGGACGGACATGCTAGTTTTATGGATTTTATTATTTTATTCCTGGTCGGTTGGAAATAAAACAAAAAGACGTTTCAGATTATTTTGTTTTAATGTAAAATCACAATAAACACAAACCTTGCTGTGTACAGACATCTTGTTTTGGACACAGGGATTTATCTAGCTCAGAAGACAAAATTCAGTTCGAAATCTGCAGCAAATGTCACTAAAAATTCCCAATTTCTAATCATAAATTTCCAAATTCATGTAATAACTGATAACTAATTTTACTACATCTCACTACGGGTCACATCAGTCCGACCTTTCGCAAGCTTTGACCGATCAATGGAATGTCTGATAAGAAGATTGGTCGACATTAGCCAATCAGAAGGCAGCTTTCTCGTGCTGTACAGCACTAGTTTCAAACTGGACACTACGATTTGAAACATATTTTGACAAATTCTCTATTAAAAATTTTAAAACTGAACAGAAGAACATTCTGGAATGGCTAATAGATGGCCTTGAATGTATGGATTCAGTCGTAAAGCGCATAACTGTAGTTTGGAATACCTTGTATTAAATTTTCCAAGGTTGCATGATTAGAAAACACATTCCGACTGTCACTTTCTTGTTCTTGTAGGCGATGCTATGACTGGTTGGAAAAAGGTCGTTCTGACCGGACGTAATGATGTCCTCAGATCTTTGTTTAGCAGTAGCAAGATCTAAGATCTGATTTGGATGAAATTGAGTAATGTCAAAATTGCAAAGTGCGCTTTTCAAGAAATGTCCATTTTCTTAGCGATAAACATCATTATTGTATAATTATAATAATCATTATTCAGAAGTTAAAGTACACATGCTTTCATATGACTAATGTTAACTATAGCCATATGAAAAATTGGTTTGTCCAATAACTTCTTTTATACATAGAACATAGAACCAAGTAATTGGTAATCAAAACTTGGAATTATGAAGCATATGTTCCTCCTGATGAATGTTGCAAGTCCCGGTATCTGGGTTCAATGCAGAATATCACACAATGGCAACAATATTCTGTCAATTCAGCAAAGGTAAAACAGTCAAGAACTTTACACAAAACACCTCACCTGGACAGAAGGGATTCTGCATGTTGAAGTTGATGGCGAACTCGTGAGAAACATCCATTGTCGGTGGAATCTTGGCTCCAAACCCAAGGGCAGGGAACATCTTGTCACTGCAAAAAATATATATATAAAATTGAAAGTAAGAAAACTAAAAATTCAATTCTCTTTATTCAAGTGTATGTAGGCCATCGGCCCACATTACATTGTTGCAGCAATTACAGCCATTTGTCTGCAAGAGTAAAGATGACTAGCATGAAAGATAAACATTGCAAAGTTTCTTATCACAACAGGATTGGTGATAGACATTAATGTGTTAAATTTATACAGGGATGGATATGAAAATATTTATCAGGAGTATAAATTTTACGTAGGTTATCATCATGATCATAGGCGATGACAAGTAAACTATTTATCAGGAATATAAATTTTACGTAGGCTATCATAGGCAGTACATGTCAATAAGGAAATGGTATTTGTTTTCTATGTATCCACAGGAACACATGTCGCATACCGTATATCGCTGTGTATGAGGCGAGTTTTTCGTACCTAGAATGAGGGGGTTAAGAAGGGGGGTCGTCTTATACACGGAGTCGAAGATCTCAAGTTTTTTCCAGTTGTTTCACTTTCAGTTTCCACTGGCGATGTCAACTGGCGTTCGATAGCCAGCCCAGCATTTGACAATAAAACTTCGCATTTCGTCCTAAATAACTGTTCCAATAACTATTTCCATACATCAACATGATTTGTATCTGTTTTCCTAGTCTGAGGCTTACATGAACAGTACAGATACAAAACATGGAGATGATAATCTTGGTTGTCAGGTGTACCCAGGTAAAGGAGATATTATGCCTATAGTTCTCTTTTCATGGGAAACAACTGAATTTTTGCCAAAATGTCATGTCAAATCTGTTTCAGTGACAACCAATTTGTGTGATAATCATCTTCATGGCACAGAGCTAGAGATAAGCTGCGTATTGGCGTAAAATACGCATTAAATAAACTGAAATACGCACACAAATCAAATCCTAGCAAATCATATACACAGCAAAGTCTATAAATACGCTATTGAAATAAAATTAAAGCATATATTACCACTATTAGATAAAACGATTGCGAATATTACAACATGATTGTGTATCAGCCGATCACGAAATTCACTTACCAACAGTCACATTTGGAACAAGCTTGTGCGACAACCATACTGATAGATGCCAATCAAAAAGCACATCGTGCCTAGTCATTGTACATGTTGTTTCTTTAACAGTCACTGATTGGTGATTAAAAAATAGCACCTTAAAACAAAATGTCTTCCCGGAGAGGGAGCCACAAGCAGACGCAGACGGGTATACTACTACCGGTATTCACATAGTTTTAAATGTTTTAAGGGGATTGTTACAAAACAGATTTTAAGTTAAAATTACCTAATGTCAAGAAACAGGTGGGTAAAAAATACTTGAATACCCTCTAAAAATTACGGATACCCAATCAAAATCAAACCCTTGGGTAAAATACCCAAATAACCAAAAGCTTATCTAGAACTCTGTGACAGTACTCACAAAGCAAGTTCAATACTGGGAAGAAACAACTTTAAGCTTTCAAGTACTTAACTATGATTCAGACACCAGTGCACAAAGGATACTGCCATTGATAGCACAATCGTGAACACAGACTTTTCAACAATATCAAAAATTTGTACCCACGTGGGGAATCGAACCTGGGTTTTTAGCGTGATGAACGATAGCTTTAACCACTAGGCTATCCCACCACCCCATATGTAACGGGAGGTGTAACTACTGGTGCCACTACATGTGCTACAGGGATTACTAACGGTAAGTGTAACTTCAAAATAACAACATATGAAAGGCTTAAAGAAAAAAAAGATTTGGTTCTCAGGCAAAGACTTTTGAAAAAATAGTGCAGGTGGGCTGTGTTTTTTTTTTTTTTGGCTTGTTCAAACTAGTATGAAACCAAATAAACAATTGTGTACCATCAACCTGTGGAAGAGCCTCAATACATTAAGAAGCACACAAACTCCTATGGCCGCCATGACCATAACACGAGGTGCGCAATAACGCAGTGCGCATGGAAAGGGAAGTAAGTGCATGCTGTATATCGCATTGTTTTTATTAGTTTTAGGATTTTAATTTTTCTAAATGGAAAAAAAAACGAAACATGCGGCAGACTTTATGATGATGCGGGCGGAGCCTGAGAACCAAGACTATTATTTTTTTTAAGCCAAACTGGAGGCGTAACTTAAGGAACTACTCACGAGTCATAATCCTGACACACATCGCCGACAGCTCGTGTTGCCTGCATATACTCGTTCGGCTGGTAGGGGTTGATGTAGTGCAGTGATGTGGGGTTACTGGGGTTACCATTGGAGGCTGTGAAATCTATACCCACCTGAAATCAAATTGTATGACATCAACTTCAATAGCCAGTTTTCATAATAACATTTGTGATTTGAAAGCTGTACCAAGACCAATGCTACAAATCATATCAATTTAAAAAAAAGTTCAAAGTTGGCACAATGGTGTCCGGACAACAAGGTCTGGGCTTACATAGGGTCTCAGTCTCACTGTATACATCTGTAACCATGGTAACAGTATCTCATGATTAAAGTTAAATGGATATTGTACTCACTGTAAAATTGATCTGCATGCCCCCGAATATGAATTCTAAGAATGTGTGTTCCTTCATAATCTGGAATAGTAAATGAATGAGTAATGTCACAATAAGCAGTATTTCAGATGCATCAAAGTGTCTCAGCTTGTTGGGGGAAGTTGGTTGGTTGGTTGGTTTGTTGTTTAACGCCGCACTCAGCAATATTCCAGCTATATGACGGCGGTCTGTAAATTAATCGAGTCTGGACCAGACAATCCAGTGATTAATATCATGAGCATCGATCCACGCAATTGGGGTCAATGACATGCATCAACCAAGTTAGCGAGCCTGACCACCCGATCCCGTTAGTCGCCTTTAACAACAAGCAGAGTCACCTTTTACTGCAAGCATGGGTTGCTGAAGATCTATTCTACCCCAGAATCTTCACGGGTCTTTGGGGGAAGTGGTACAAACCACAAGCCCATCCATAGTGCTGGAGGACGTGATGAACAAATGCTATAACAACAAGGTTACCCTAACACCACTTCGGATTAAAGTGACCGCTTCCGTGGTCTAGTGGTGGAATGCCTGCCTAGAGAGCGGAAGGCCTGCCTAGAGAGCGGAAGGCCACGTCATATCAAAAGACGTTAAAAGAAGGTACTTGTTGTTACCCTGTCTGGAGCTCAGCATTCAGGGTCTAAAACAAGGACTGGTTGGCTCGGAGTCAGTATACTGTGCCTGAGTGGGGTATTCATGTTTACAGTTATATATGGTATCTCAGTGTGCTAGCACTATAACCGGACTAGTACAAGCAGCCACACAAACACACACACGTGCATGCACGTCGCTACATAAGTGCAATAATCTTGGACGCGACGTTAAACCCAATTTCACCTCACCATCTGATTAAAGTAGACACACCACAGAAATCGCAGACTATCACAACAAAAGTAATAAAAACACTCAGTGCAAGACACATGAAATCAGCCCTGTACATACCTTCACAGAAGTAAGCAGACATATGCCTGAATTGGTATAGTTTTTCTTTTTGGATTTTTTCTTTGGGTTGATGAGCGGCCAGGAATACTGGAACAAAATGTGATTGTGACATGTGAGTGAGCGAGCATTAGAGGTTGATGTCTTCTATGTATTTGTGCTTACTGTGCAGCAGATGCTGTCACAACATTGTGCATTCTATTAACTTAAACCCATTATCGCCAGATTCTGGTATGGCAAAGGGACACAACTTTGTACACAGACAAGTAAGTCTGAACAGGAGGATGGCTTGTAGTATAGAGACAGACACTTTGAGTTATATTTAACTAGTCCACAGCTCTATCTGGACAAGTGGTTTATGTGACTCTGTAGATCTGGGGAGAACACGCTAGTCTTCAGATAGTCGCTCGTGTGGGGGCAAATATTTCCACCTGCAGCACCCACCTCCTGGTTACTGGCTTTCATCATATCATCGACGGTGGTGGTGAAGCCGCCGATGTAGTCGTGGCTACCGTCACTGTCCCAGTCGTAGACATCAAACTGAAGATACATAAACATGGATCAGGAAGAACTAATATTCGGGGCCCCATTTTACAATGTGATCTTAGCGCTTCATTTGTCTTAGCCTGTGTTAAAAGTAAGGGCAGTATGACTATCTTAGCTCCACGATTGTCTTAGCCTATGTGAAAAGTAAGGGAGGTACGACCAACTTAGCACTACGATTGTCTTAAGTCTATGTTAATGTATGAGAGGTACAATCAACTTAGCCTTACAATTGTCTTAGCTTATGTTAAAAGTAAGGGAGGTATGACCAACTTAGCACTACGATTGTCTTTGCCTATGTAAAAAGTAAGGGAGGTAGGATCAACTTAGCACTACGATTGTCTTAAGTCTATGTTAAAAGTAAGGGAGGTACGATCAACTTAGCACTACGATTGTCTTAAGTCTATGTTAAAAGTAAGGGAGGTACGATCAACTTAGCACTACGATTGTCTTTGCCTATGTAAAAAGTAAGGGAGGTACGATCAACTTAGCACTACGATTGTCTTAGTCTATGTTAAAAGTAAGGGAGGTACGATCAACTTAGCACTACGATTGTCTTAAGTCTATGTTAAGGTATGGGAGGTACAACCATCTTAGTGCTAAAATTCCTTTCTGAAGGACAATTGTGATGCATCAATACTTTCATCAATTATTACACCCCTAACACAGCAGATAATGCAGACTATGCAACTACATGATGTCATGGTACTGAGAGAGGGAGTCAGGCCTCACCCGAATCTCCTGGGCCCTGTTGCCAGCACACAACGTCGACAGAGGAACCTGGAACGGCCGCCAGCTCGGGTTGAGAGTGTTCTTGATGACCTGGAACAGAATCAGTGTTATAGTGAGTGAGTGAGTGAGTATGGTTTTACGCCGCTTTTAGCAATATTCCAGCAATATCACGGCGGGGGACACCAGAAATGGGCTTCACACATTGTACCCATGTCGGGAATCGAACCCGGGTCATCGGCATGACGAGCGAACGCTTTAACCACTAGGCTACCCGACCGCCCCGAATCAGTGTTATAATAACCATAGAGACAGGATCCAGACTGGAACCACTTGCAGACGTCTGACACTTGTTAGTCAGAAGGAATTATGTCTTAAAACTTAAGGAATTAAGTTTTTTATCCTACATTGAACTTTTTAACAAGTTAAGGCTAAAAAATAATAGTCTTGGTTCTCAGGCACCGCCTTCATCAACATAAAGTCGGCCGCACGTTTCGTTTTTATATTCATTTCTAAAAAAAAATACAAAATTATAAATCCTTAGATATTCCAAGTCCAACGGTAGTCAAATACTGTATTCCAGTATTTCACTCATTAAGGAATACATTATGTAGGGAGGCCCTTTCCCAGGTTGATTGTACACAACTGTTTATTTGTTACACAACTGTTTATTTGGTTACATACTAGTTTGAAACAAAAAAAGACACTACCCGATGCACTATATTTTCAGTATCTCAGTGTGCTAGCACTATAAATCGGCATCAGTCCGGACTAGTACAAGCAGCCACACACACACATACACGTGCATGCACGTCGCGATATAAGTGCAATAATTTTGGACGCGACGTTAAACCCAATTTCACCTCAACTCACCTATATTTTCAAAAACAATTGCCTGGGAACCAATTCTTTTATTTTATTAAGCCTGACATACGTGAACCCTGTGACACAACAGTATCCTTGGTAACAAGCTTTTCAGTGACAAGCATCATTCTGGTGAGGGACATACAAGTTCCCCCCTCAAACCTGTAGACCTTCAGCCATCTTGCTATATTTAGAGGGGGGCTTCCACTCCACACAGATCGGGTTGTAATGAATTCTTTTGTAAGTTTGTTTGTTTGTTTGTTTGTTTGTTTGTTGTTTAACGCCGCACTCAGTTATATTCAAGTTATATGAGGACAGTCTGTAAGAAATCGAGTCTGGACCAGACAATCCACTGATTGACATCATGAGCATTGATCCACACAATTGGGATATGATGACATGCATCAACCAAGTCAGCGAGCCTGACCACCCGATCCCGTTAGTCGCCTTTTACGGCAAGCAGAGTCGCCTTTTACAGCAAGCATGGGTTTAAGTAACAATGTCAAAATCAGAAGAAAATTGAGAAAAAAGATCAATGCAATAAGCCTGATAAGTGGGAGTGGGATATCATTAATTATTTTATCAGGGAAATATATCAACAGACTTGTTTTCATAATAACGATAATATTTATTTGTTTCCTCATTCATAAAATTTAGCATCGGTGGATCTGTAAACCAAGTACTAATCATGTTAAAGTGGACTCGCCTCTGTTCTGTGGACCACTTGCCAGCTTCGGTCCAGGGTAGAGCGAAGAATCTCCAAATATGGATCAGACTTGCCAAAAAAGTCCTGCAAAATTAAAATCCCTTATTTAGTCTTATACATATTCAGCTCTGACAACGGCCAAGTCCAAGATTAATTAAGCTTTTCTAGATTCAACATATTTCTGTTTATTAAGAATGGGAAAATAATATCTGTATTTCTGCATAAATATAGAAAATTTAAGTGAGAATTAACAATTTCATTGAGAGTTAGTCATGGAGGATCAACACATATCTCACTCAAGCAAACATAGAAAGGGACTACTGAAACTACTGTCTATAATTCAACTCAAAACAAAGAAAGGACCACTGATTCTTTCATTTTACTATATTATTGATGGTTGTTTTAACGCCGCACTCAGCAATATTCCAGCTATATGACGGCGGTCCGTAAATAATCGAGTCTGGACCAGATCATCCAGAGATTGACAGCATGAGCATCGATCCACGCAACTGGAATCGATGACAGTATCAACCAAGTCAGCGAGCCTGACCACCTGATCCCATTAGTCGCCTTTTACGACAAGCATAGTCGCCTTTTACGGCAAGTATGGGTTGATGCAGACTATCCTACCCCGGATCTTCATGGCTTTTTTTTTGCTTTTTTTTTTACTATATTAAATCTGTCACAGCATGACAGATCAACTATCGCAATATTGAAATAATCGGTCGGTCCTTAACTTCTTTTGAATTGTATATATCTAAAATACTGAGGGACTTCAATTACGGTCGCTCCTGTCAAATATCTAACACCTGTCTGAAGTTGTCTTAATCCTTGGTAATCACAGCATGGAAGGTTGGAAATTGGACTGTAAAAACTGAGTACATGTATTCTGAAGCATAATTTATGTTTTATTTATAACAAATTGTGACTATCAAAACTGGCAATTGTTATGTATACTATCAAGTGGATAGTATCAACAATAGTATTGACATTTTTAAATTCCTAACAATATAGTACAATCGTAGGATGGAAAGTGGCAATACATCGACAGTTTGCTATATTGTTACCCTCCTACCTTCTTGTCCAGGTTTTTCCCCCTGAATGTCAGGTAAGCTATCTCGCCACCCTCCTTCACCTCCTCAGCTCGAACCTGTAGGCAAAACATGTATCGAGTTGACATCATTGACACATATACAAACAGTGTATTTCTTAGCAGTGTTTTAAATCAAGGGGATACAAGGTACTTGAAGTTTTAAAGTATTTAAAGACTCCTTTATTTTTAACACAGAAGCAAATTACTATTTCACTTACATCCATAATTTCTAAAAGCAGTCTGTATGCTATTCACCGGTAACTGCACCAATTTTGTTTTGTTACATTGATAAATAACACTTGTAGAGAAAGGTTTTTGTGCTACAGAAATCCATGATCTATTGGCACAAGACCCTCTCTCCTGTTGTTGCTTGTACACACACACACACACACACGCACACACACTTTTATTTAAGTCATCTTTATTCCTTCAACATGTTCAAACAACCAATCGACATCATTAATGAAAAACACTTTTCCTCCAAGTACTCAGAATCTCTTAGAAACAATATTCACAATGATGACTTTGTTACCTCTCCTGGTGCTTGGCATATAACCTCAATACTAACAGGCCATGCTATTGTGAAGTCTCCATTTCCCGCTACGAAGTAACTATTTAGACTCCATTTCCCCCTCCAAACTTCCTATGAAGATTCAATTTCCCCCTCCAAACTTCCTATAAAGATTCAATTTCCCCCTACAAACTTACTACTATGACACCATTTCACGCAATCTCATTAAAATCAGATCTTAGTTCTTGCTTCCCGTAAGCAAAGGTCTGAGGACATCCCATTACAGGTCACTTCAGAATGACCTTTCGCGAACTTTGACCGCCAAATGTTTTGACCAACGAGCAGTAGACACTAGCCAATCAGAAAGTAGATTTCTCGAGCATTACAGCACTAGTTTCAAACTGGCAACTTGGAAAACTGAACAAAAATGTCTAATATATGGTCGAGATTGTATGGCAGTACTTCCCACGTATTATGCAACTTCTCTTCCTTTCAAAAGTTTATCCCACTGAAGCATGAGATAGATCATGATTTTGATGGAATCAGTCGTACAGACTGTAATTGTCGTTCGGAATACCCTCTGTTATCCTTTCGCGGTTTCATGATGAGAAAACACATTCCGGCTGTCATTTTGCTGATCTGGTAAGCGACCCTCTGATTGGTCGGATAAAAGGTCGTTTCGACGTGATCCTTAATGGGATGTCCTGAGATCTTTGATAGGCGGTGGCAAGGTCGTTCTGACGTGATCCTTAATGGGATGTCCTCAGATCTTTGATAAGCGGTGGCAGGGTCGTTCCGTCGTGATCCTTAATGGGATGTCCTCAGATCTTCGATAAGCGGTAGCAAGAACTAAGATCTGATTTTAATGCGATTTCCATTTCCGGCTACAAACTTACTATTATGACTCCATTTCCGGCCTTGCGTCGTCCATCAGGCATCATCAAGGGCTTTGTGAAGGGGTTGCTGGACACCAACTGAAAGAGGCAGCAGACGAAGGCTGAGACACATGTGGACATGATTAGAACATACAAGACTCAATGTTACAACTGTGATTATGTACGGCCATGAAACGATAAGATACTGACCTGTCCCAGAGTACAATCCAGCTGGCCAAGGAAGTCATCGTCGGACAATTCTGGCGTTGTGTTGTCCAGATCGTACACACATACCCTGCATTTCTGTACTTCTTCAAAATAGTAGTTCACTTTAAAGCATCGAGAGAACTTGGGATCCAAGCAGTTTTTAATGTTTTCCGTTCTTCCAATCTGAAAAAGATTACGCAAGAATTAAATGAAAATGTTAGTAATCTTTACTCAAGAGATTTATCCAGGATTTAAACTTAGTGCCCCTATTATTTTGTTCTAAATTGGAATATTTCCTAAGTTCCTTTTTTCAAAAATTCAGTGATATTTTAACATTGTATTTTGAAATTGCATTCCATGCAAAAATATAAAACTAATGATAAAAACATCTTCCTCTTTATTGGTCTTGTTACCAGTGTAATACAGTTTAGTTCTACAAAGCCACAAAAGTAATTAGTAGTATAGGTAATGGGTATTCTGGACCACTTCCACAGGAGCCAGATTTATATACCTATACCAGCACTACAGGGGTATATATTAGTCATATATTAGTCATATATATTAACATTAATCTAATTTCACTTTGAAAATTTTTAATAACATGTGCTGAAGACTTGGGGTCTAATGTAGGCCTCTAAGCAGGTCGACAAAAATCCATGGTTCATGTACATAAGGTACAGATTATTCCTACTTCCTAAATGTGTCCCCCCCCCCCCCCCAGCTTAAACACAATGGGGATTATCCCTGGCCAGTAGCTGGACAAGCAGGAAGTCACAAACAACTGAGTACCATTCACAACTGGAGAGAAAGAAAATTTACAAGAGTTGAGCTTTGTACTAGGGGAGTGAGTGAGTGAGTATGGTTTTACGCAACATTTGGCAATATTCCAGCAATATCACGGCGGGGGACACCAGAAATGGGCTTCACACATTGTACCCATGTCGGGAATTGAATCCGGGTCTTCAGCGTGACAAGCAAAACCTATAACCACTACATGCACTAGGCTACCCGACCGCCCCCTTTGTACTAGGGACTAAAGTAGTGGACTGGAGTGACAGATGATAAGTCTGAAAAGTTGACAAGACAGGATTAAGAATTGATTGAGTCAGGCTCTGAGAAATTCTTTAATGTTACCTCATCCCAGTGGCCACCTCGTCGACTCATGTAGAGCACTGCACATGGATCTGACTTGGACATAACATCCAGGTCCAGTAGATTACGACACTCAATCCGGAGTTCCACTTTCGACACACACTGATCTCCTCCGGGTGGGGGGCGTGGAACATTTGGGTACATTTGTGGTTGTGCCATTCTTTAACCTAATAAGAAAATGAAAATATTGTACCCTTGTAACCATGGTGACAAATAACTCAATGACAGCCGCAAAGGAAAACTGTTCTTGAAAAGTTTGAAAATCATTTTCGATTTTTTTTTTAATAATTAGCTGGACAATTCAGACCAAATGTCTATCCTATTGTATAAAGTAATCTTTATCACATATTTGTACTATGTGCCATTTGGGGAAGTCTGGAAGGCTGCTTGTCCTATCACCATGGTTATAGAGTCACTCTGTAGTCTGTACTCAGGAAGCTAGGTATGGCAAGGTGATCACAATGTTTCATTCGTGGCACCATATAAATGACACCTGGAATTCATGACGTGTAATTGGCTACAAGGATTCATACATTTTGCAGATCGGTGTTTTCATTCATACCTCAATGAACCGGAAAAAATAAACACTCAATCCTTAGATGAAATATTTATCCCCTCAAATTAAACATATCCTGCAAAAATGGTTCTTTGTACACATCATTTTTGTGCTACCTGGAGAAATCTGTGGTCAATGTTCAGGTAGCCATGTGTACGAATGACCCCTTCTCAGGTTTGTTTATTTGTTGTTTAACGCAGCACTCAGTAATATTCAAGCTATATGTTGGCGGTCTGTAAATAATCGAGTCTGGACCAGACAATGCAGTGATTGACATCATGAGCATCGGTTCACACAATTGGCATTTGATGACATGCATCAACCAAGTCAGCGAGCCTGACCTTCATTTGTCGCCTCTCACGACAAGCATAGTCACCTGTTACAGCAAGTATGGGTTGCTGAAGACCTGTTCTACCCTGGATCTTCACGGGTTCCCTCTCAGGTAGTCACTTGTACTCATAATAGGGGGCCTGTATCAGGCACGTCTACTGATGGATATTTGAATTCTGACACAAGACAATTGATTATTATAAGCTACCATGGTTACTGACTGCACTTGCACGGGGAACCCAGGTTCACATTGCTATATCTATGACAGATTGTCAACCACCTTGTATTAAAGCTGTTAATGAGCGAGCTAGCATCCACCAGAACCTGTAGCCAAGAACTGAGGGGAGCCAACCATCAAGACAAGACCCAGGCCCACATGCACAAAACAAGGGCTCAGACTATTGCAAGTCTGTGTTAAAGTATGGGAGTTATGGGTCTTGGTGCTAAGGTGGCTTTGTGCAAGCGGGCCCTGGTCCTGGCAACAGAACCTGGTACCTGCAGCTGCCCAGGCCCAACTCAGTGATCAACAATGACAAGAGTGGGAAGCATTATCTCTGAGCACATTAATATAATTGCCTATAACAGTCAGTGTCGCTTGTTAAAGTTTGTTTGTTTGTTGTTTAACACCACACTCAGCAATATTCCAGCTTTATGACAGTGGTCTGTAAATAATTGAGTCTGGACAAGACAATCCAGTGATTAATATCATGAGCATCAATCCATGCAGTTAAAGTCATAAAAAGCACAAGATCTTATACTATGTTCAAAATACCTACAGGCCATACTCTGGCCATATTTTCCTTGACTTGTACTGTGATAGCCGAGAGCCTAGATGGAATACTACGGTCAAGACAGGACCCTGTAGGCTCCTCTCTTGACTGAAGGACTCCACCGAGGCTATGGGGTGGTACTCTAAATAATGTGTCAGACCACAGATCATGTAACTAATATTCTGTACCAACAAAATCGCAGACGAGTCCGAAGTGGTCAGAGCCATGCAAGTTTGAGCATCAGATTTCATTTGCCATGTTAGATGCATATTTGAACATGGTTCGGACAGGTCATGACATATTCTTATAACGTTGGGAGTAGGTTAGTGAGCGTTTTCTAAATTAAACATTTATAAAGAGAAAGCTTACTTTATGTGTCAGTCCGCTAGTCCGTCAGAGTAACTGGTGATGCTAGTGACTTCAGCTATTATATATACTTTCCTACGTCACTTGTTACATTGCGACACAAAACTCTAAACCTATTGTACAGCAGACGCTTGGTGCAAAAGTGCAAACACTGTGATTTCTACTTCCTGCTTCCGTTTTTATCACGTTAGAGTTGTCTGCCCATAGATCTTCCCCGGTCTGACGTCATTGCATTGCTTTGGGATGAGGTGTTAGCAGGACGCGTGTTTTATCGGACAAATGTTGGGAAATAAGACTGACAACTCTTATCTTGCATCATATCTATTGACGTCAATGGTACAACTAAAGCATTGGTGAATACACAAACATACGCACTTGTTGATAATTCGGTGTAAATAGAAAGCACTTAACTTAAAATAGGTTTTGTGAGATAAAAATAAAGATCAAATAATGAATCAATCCAACAGCTCATGAAGGCCTGTGAATAATCTAACCCTTGGTAGTCCGGGTAAGAATATATGGGATTAGTTATTTTTTTTATCCCATGTTCATGTTTCACAATCGGTAAACTCAGCCTTCCCTAGGCAGATGATGTGGGGGTTCCTATGGCAAGCCGTTTTCACATTTATCACGGAATTACAGATATCTTCAATTGTTTTAAAGATATCGGTATTTTATTTAAAGATATCAATAATGTTTATAAGATATCAAAAAATAATTAAAGATATCTTTAATTCATTTCTGATATCCATAATACAATTACCGATATCTTAAAATGTTAGGGTGATATCAACAAAATAGTTTGTGATATCTCTTAATGTATTGAAGATATCATTAAACAATTACCATCCTACGGTACATAAATATATTAGAAATAAATTCAAGATATCTTATATTCAATTCAAGATATCTTGAAATAAGTTATACATATCCACAAATGCATTACAGATATCTTTAATTCAATTTGATATATCTTTAATCCAATTCAAGATATCATTAATTCTGACCGTTACTGATATCAAAAATCCAATTAAAGATATTAATAATTTTGATGATATCTTTATATCAATTATTGATATCAGTTATCTAATTTAAGTAACAGTATTAATGTAGCATCTTTAATAATTGCAACAATTGACGATATCAATAATTAATTATTGATATCTGTATTTAGTTTCAAGATATCAGGAATTGAATTAATGACATCATAACAAAACATGACATTTTGATATCTTTAAATCATATTTTGATATTAATAATCGAATTTAAGATATCAGCAATTCTTTTCAAGATATCAGTAATACGCTTCACCATATCCTTAATTCATATCGTGATATCTTCAATTTTATTGCAGATATCTACAATTATCTGCATTTAAGATATCTTTAATTCCATTCAAGGTATCTTCAATTCGATTCAAGATATCTTCAATTCAATTCAAGATATCTTTAAAACAATTGAAGATATCTGTAATTCCGTAATCAATGTGAAAACGGCTTGCCATAGGTTCCTCAAAGTTTCAAGCCATACATCTTTCCAAGGGACAGAAGAGGCAAACATGATGATCGTCTCACAAGACCCTCTTGGTGCCACGGGACCATATATGGACCATCACTTTTCACATCCTCTTAGTTAGATCTAGGACATGCATAAGAAGTACCATCCATAAATAATTTGTCTTCTGCTTGCATCACGTTTAACATCTCATCTGAGGTGAAAACTAGAAGTCACCAGCACCGCCATTAATGGCCAGGAAGAGAGTGATGTCCTTGGTTGTTGTCCGCTGTCCTTTGAGGACTACTTTAGCCAGTTTTGTGGGTAATGTTGATTGTGTGTGTGTGTGCTCGTTTAGATTATCTATACTAGTTATTATAGCTAAAATGGATAGAATTATCATAAAAACGCCCGCATGTTATCAGAAATGAGCGGGCCACTGTAACTTGATAATGCCCTCATATTACTTGACGACGGGCCATTATCATGCCCGTTGTTAGGTGACGTCATAGGATAGGGATAGGTGACGTAACGTTCAATAGTGACGTCATCTGGTTTGTTCTATGACGTTTCCATATTTGTAAAAGTGGGTCAGCGACATTTGTGTTGATTGCAGTAAATGTTTCAAAATCGACATTGTTGTTTCTTTTTATTTGATAACAAATTCCATCCATTTTAGCTATAATAACGGTAACGCTATTTTTCAGGGCATTATCATTTGCAGGAGCCCTCGGTCTTTTCAACTGCCCTCCTTCGTCGGGCAGTTAATGGAAGACCTCGGGCTTCTGCAAATGATAATGCCCTGAAAAATAGCGTTACCCTTATACCAGAATGCGGACACTGGAGATATAGGGATGGGTGAAATTAATTGTCTAAGGACTATATCATATTTTGATATAGCGTTACAATCCTAGTCTGTTCAGTTTCTATCTTTATCATGTTTATAGCACAGATTTTCTCCTTCACGTATACGAGTATTTTGATTGAACGACTTATCTTAGCACCATACTCGGATTTTAAACCATGCAATGGTAGTAATGGCGCCATGGTATTTATCATAAAATAACAGAGGGGATAGTCGATGACGATGAAATGCTTTTAACCGATCGATATATGCAGCTACAATACATGCAGCTTCAAATGATTGTTTTCTTTGGGTCGGGTTTACCATAAAAGTGCATGGTACAGTCATGTTTTGGGTTTGTTGTTATTTTTCTTTCATTTTAAGAGACTGTGATATTTATTTACTTCATAGCAGAAAGCTGAGATTTGTTTTATTTTAATGTCGCATTTCAAATTGAAGATATGGACACAACGTTCAAACTTTCTCACTGTTCACTAAAACAGAACAGATGTAAGTGATTTTAAAACAGAACAATGAAAATATCAGTATAATAAAGCATTTTTATATAATAAGACCATGTTTTGCAACTCCATGTGTAGGAAAACCCAGTGTGCAGTTTTCTTCATCTAACTACTCACAACCGTTGCAGGAATGTACTTTTCAGTTACTAAGATTGTGGATGGGGGATATGAAGAGCATAACTTTGGACACGTTGTGTCCAAACAAACAAGCAAAGAAACAAACAGCACAAAGTTAAACTATCGATGACCATCTTCACCTCACCACACTGTCTTACATTAATCAGCTTAAGCTCACACGTCCGTAATGTCAACGTTCAGGTAAAACGTTATTACGGGGGTAGTTCTGATAATTGTCTGATATACAATAATATATATGAACAATTTCTACTTCTATGTGTAATTCTAATGAGGGAGCAAAATTAAATTAAATTATTATAAGTATTTTTTTTACTACGTCTACCAATACCATCGATACTGAAGGGTCGTAACGATATTAACTTTGGCTATTTCAGCTTGTCAACGATGTATAACTATTGGCTCATGGACAGGTGTTCGGCATCAATAGTTCAACCGCTTTACACCCAGACGCGGATCCAGACGCACACACACACACACACACACACACACACACACACACACGGGCGCGCGCGTCGTACGAGGCGACTTAATTAGCTTTGGTAGCGTGTAAACGCATCCTGTCTTATAATATCATTCACTGGATTGCCTGGTCCAGACTCGATTATGCACAGGGCGCAGTCATGTATGTGTTCTATGAGAGAGGCGTAAAACATACCAAAATAATCAGATGAAAAAACATCTAAATAACGGGTCCGTTCAGCTACAGCTAAGGGGCACAACTCTGCACACTATATCGAACAAAACACCAAGCGCCTGCTTGAAGTGCACAACATCGGTATATTTATGGGGCTCTTCCATCAACATGCTCAGAACACAGCATTAACCATTTTTACGTGCTGTTTTAATCTGGCCACACCCTTAACCATACCTACATACGTGCTTAACGATTCTGACTTCACCATAAGCAGCACACACGTGCTCTTGAAACTAATCCACAATGATCAACATGCACGTGCCTTATGAATGTAGGATGACAAAGTAGACACACATTTATGGATAACAGAAAAGAATACATACATAAATATTTTTATCTGAATCCTAGAATAGACAAATTTTATATCCTCATGTCATCCCAAAATGAAACAGTCACAAAATATCTTTCAATGTATATATATCATGCAATGAACATCAGATCCTCTGCACTATAGATGTGATATTTTGTTACGATATTTGTAATTCCTATTGCACCCATTGCTACTGTATGTATATATGTACTATAGGCCTATGGCCTTTTCAGTACTTGAAATAAAGATTGATTGAACAGGATAACAACTTCTTTTTTGACTGAAAAGGCGACGTGTGGGTATAGATCCTTATACCGTGGTCAAGCAAGGCTGAATAATGAACATGGCACAGAATATATATAGTAGGTGGAGGGTTAACAATAACAACAATTGCATACATGACAGACCTGAACATGAGTAGGTTAACAACAGTGAGTGAGTGAGTATGGTTTTACGCCGCTTTTAGCAATATTCCAGCAATATCACGGCGGGGGACACCAGAAATGGGCTTCACACATTGTACCCATGGCGGGAATCGAACCCGGGTTTTCGGCGTGACGAGCGAACGCTTTAACCACAAGGCTACCCGACCGCCCCAGGTTAACAACAGAGGGACAATACCGTGACATCATGATGAACAGAGAACACATGATGAGGAGTGAGTGAGTTTGATTTTACGCCGCTTTTAGCAATATTCCAGCAGTATCACTGCGGGCGACACCAGAAATGGGCTTCACACATTGTACCCAAGTCGGTTATCGAACCCCGGTCTTCGGCGAGACAAGCGAATGCTTTAACCACTAGGCTACCCGACCGCCCCTCACATGATGAGGAAGCCGATAAATAGGAAGCCAGTTAAACAGGATTAAGTATATATATGTAGGATGGCCCTGGCAAGGAATAGAGGATGTGGAAGATATGCAAAATATCGTTCGAATTGAAACATATTTTGAACCACACTTTAAATGCACCTTAACAACTGCGAGTATGCACAGTTACCATTTGCAATATGATCACATCAATTGATAAAACTGGTCCGTTGAAATAACAAATAGTGAGCATATATTGGGGTGCAAACAGCTCACAATATTTATGACATGATCCATACCATGAAAAATAGATGGTGTTCGGCCCAACGATACGCCTTGGTTAACTGGGTACTG